AAAGCAAAGTATATTCGAGAAGATTTTTTTTAAGAATTCTGAATATTATTGATATGGTCCTGGTACAATGGGTATGTACTGCAGATAAAATAAGATTTATATCCTAGATAGGATTAAATTATTCAGGTGTCTTAAAATTAATGTATGTGTTTTCGTGTTATACGATTTGCAGATATATTTTCGGTTGGGAGGTGGAAGACTCTTTTTTTCCAGCGTTCACGATCCGCAGCTACAACAACTAGCAGAACTTCTACCTTTCTACTGTCTAAAAGCTAGGGCCGAAAGCACAACGAAAAAATACAGGTACGCATTTGACAGATTCACAAAATGGTGCAAGAACTTTGACCCACATGTCCCTAATTTACCATCAACAGATGTAAGTGTGGCTCTGTATTTGATATACATTGCTCGAAATTATAAATCTGCTTCTAAAATAGAAGAAGCCACATATGCTATCACTTGGGCACACAACCTGGCAGGATTTTCGAATCCCTGTGATTCTACTTTGGTGAAAAACACAAACGAGGGTTGTTTACGAGACACTGATCATTCCGTGACAAAGAAGGATCCTATAACACCCAAAATCCTCTCATCTGTTGTTTCAATATTTAGAAGTAGTCAAGCATCACTTTTTGATTTACGTACATGTTCCATTTTTTTGTTGGGTCACGCAGGATTTTTACGATTTTCAGAGATTGTTAACATCCAAAGATCTCATGTAACATTTAAAGAATCACACCTGAAATTGTTTATTGAAAAAAGCAAAACAGGAGATTATAATGAAGGGAATTGTGTGTACATTTCTCGTACGAATTCTCCTAACTGTCCAGTCAATTTACTGCAGAGATATTTGAGAATGTCGGGTAAAGAGGAAAATTCGACTGATTATATTTTTAGGCAACTGTCATTCTGTAAGAAGTCTGGTATTTATAAATTAAGAAAACATAATGTACCATTGTCTTATACTAGAGTAAGAGAAATTGTTTTGTCAGCTTTAAAAACTTTGGGCTTAGATTATACAAAAATTGGTGTTCATAGTTTGCGTTCGGGTGGGGCCACTGCAACTGCAGTTTCAGGAGTCAATGACAGGCTATTTAAAAAACCGGTCGGTGGAAAACTGAAAAAGCTAAATACGGCTACGTTCACGAAAATTTAGAAAGCAAACTTTCAGTTACTAAAAATCTGGGTTTTTAGCTCTTTCTTTATTTTTCGAACTGTACTCTTGAAGGCGCTTCTGTACCTACACTGTGTTTATTTGTGGTATAAATTATTTATGTTCGGTTGAGTGTGAACGAATCAGAACATAAATGTTTTTATTACAGTTATAGTAACACGTGTGTCGATCGAACACGTGTTTGTTTATTTAGATTTATACCGGAAACCAATTTTCATTGGTTAGCTATTTCAGAAATAGAATCTGTTAAACAGGTTTATCTATATGACACACCTTCTCACCAATTTAACAAGTAAACCCCATTCGAAGGCTCTCTCTTCGTGCAGTTTAGACGTGGCACCCACCCACCCACACTCACAGTATTTTATATGTATGCTCATTTTATCTTTTTCTCGTTATTAATGGACTTTACAGAATTTTGATTTACAGAAGAGTATATATATATTTTTTTGTTTGTATGATATTGAGAAATAAACTGCACTCTTGAGAGCGCTTCTGTACCTACAGACTGTGTTTATTTATGGTATAAATTATTTATGTTCGATTGAGTGTGAACGAATTAGAACATAAATGTATTTATGGTATAAATTATTTATGTTCGGTTGAGTGTGAACGAATTAGAACATAAACGTCCTATTTACAAACACAGGTGTTTGACGTGATATATTATGAACAATACGAACAATGTCTTTAGAATATTCATGGCATTTCAAATCATTAAAACTGAAGTTATTTTTTAAAATAAAAATAGGGAATGATGGAAGATGAATCTTTCGAGTGCTACACCGGCATATTGTTTGATGAGATTAAAATCAAGGAGGATCTGGTATATGACAAACACACTGGAAAACTCATAGGGTATTGCAATCTAGATGCTGTGGGAAACCAATTACTTGGACTGGAGAGGACATCAAACTCCTCATCTGAGCTGGCCAAATGCATACTCGTCATCATGGTGAGAGGTGTTGTCACTTCCTTGAAATTTCCATTGGCTGGCTTTGCAACCAACAGCATCACGGCAGACTACCTGTACACAATTATCTGAAAAGCTGTTTCAGTAGTAGAAGTAAATGTAGGACTAAAAGTGCTTTTTTTTCACCTGTGATGGAGAGTCAGCCAACAGAAAATTTTTTCAGTCTCCACAAGCTTGATGGATATAATGAGTCAGTTTATTCTACTCCTAACCCCCATGACAACACAAGGGCCATATATTTCATTTCTGATGTTCCTCACTTGCTGAAAACAACAAGAAACTGCTTAAGCAACTCATTTTCCCACAAGAAGACGAGACAGTTATGGAAGATGGGAAAGGCATCTCTTTGATGCATGTCGTTAGACTGTTTTAGGAGCAGTGAGAACAAAGCCTGTATACGCCCTGTCCTAAGATTACACGAACACATGTAGACCTTGCAGCTTACTCCAGCATGAAAGTCAGTTTAGCTGGGCACTAAGGGAACAGTTTCCAATGCCCTAGAGGAATATTATAGACAGGAAGTGTCAGAAACTGTTAAATTCATCTGAATCTTTAACAAGTTCTTTGTCTAAATGTCCGACATTTAATGGAGGGGAGGAACAAAAGAAATCCGGACATGAACCCATACAGAGCTGTGGATGACCCAAGGATCACTTGGCTCAGGAATGACTTCCTGGGCTATATTAAGAAGTGGGAGAGGAATGTGGAGACCAGAGACAGGAACCTTACAGCACAAAAGGCAGCCATGCAACTAAGCCACCAAACAAAAACAGGACTTGAAATATCTGTCAAATCCATTATCAACTGCATATAGTTTATGCTGGAAGAGGGGTCTGACTTTGTGCTCACACAAAGCTTCAACCAAGACCCTTTGGAGCAGTATTTTGGACATCTAAGACACGAAGGAGGAGTTAATCAAAATCCTACAGTGTATGAAGTCCGAAATACCATGACACAGTTATTAGCCACCAGAACTCAAGCGCTGGCTCCCAAAAGAGGTAACATTACTCGTTTGAATGATGAAAACATTCCTTTCATTGACAATCAGCCATTACCGAAGAGGAAAAAGTGATTGTGAAGAAAAGCAAGTCAAGATAAAACATTTTTGATTTTTTTTTCCACAGTGGACTTTTCTTGTATTGCAGAGAGAAAATTGTGTTTTGACAATTATTTTGAAATTGTGCAATAATTGTATATAGTACTACATGTATGTAGTGTACAAATTTGATCCCAATTTAATACTCTCCTGTGTTACTGTAATGTAACACTATCTTTATGAAAACAAACTGTTGTGTCGATTAATGTTTTTAAGTTTTATGCAAATGTCAAGTATACTTCAAAAAACCACAATTTGACCAATAAAAATAGACATTAAACAATACAACTGTGTCCAGGCCCCTTTAAGTTTCTTCTTTTTAGTCCCCTACTGGTGAAACCGGAGGGGACTAAAGGTTTCCTCTGAGTCTGTCCATCTGTCTGTCTGTCTAGCTGTCCGTCCCTCTGTCTGTCTCTCAATCTGTTCCACTTGGTTTTCTGCATGCACTTTTATCCTAAACACTTGTACATGTAGATGTTAAGCTGAGTTTTGATATACAGTGTATGTATGTATCTTGATGAGTTACAGATCAAGTTTGCATTTCGTTCTGATTCATTGATATTTGACGGAATTACGACCTTTTCAATTTTTAAGAGTTTTTCTAAACGCTTGCAGATATTGAGCTGATTTTTGGTATGTGACTTTACTTTGATTAGTTACAGATCAAGTTTGCATTTCGTTCCACTTCAATGATTTTTGGTAGAGTGATGACATTTTCAATTTTTATCGGAACCAGAATACACTTGCCGGTAGGGGACTATAGTATTGCTAATGCAATACTCTCAGAATATGCTTGTTGTTGCTGAGAGTAAATATGTCATAAAAATAATTTATGAAAAATGGAAATCCTCCTTGGAGGAGGTGGAAACTCCCATTCTCGAGCAACTATCCTCTAGGCTAGTACTATAAACTATACACTGTAACAGTAAATGTTTTTTATGTCTCGGAGTATTCTCTTTAGAGAAGTGGGCAGGCTTTCGCCTACATCCATAGATGTAGGCGAAAGCCCGTCCACTTCTCTAAAGAGAATAGTCTCGGAGTAAATTAATCTTTTTTATTATTAAGTCCAACGGGTACATCCCCACATTCCCAATGATCTCTGAACAATTCAGTTTGTTGGGCCGGTGGGGAATGGGGATAAGCAGCAACTCTATAATTTCATTGGACACTGTTGGAGGTTTTATCCCTGTATCGCATTCCGGAAAGAAAATATTCGTTTTGGTTTTGCTATTTTCACGCATTAAATGTTTCCTACATGAATTCAGAATTGGAAACTTATGCAAGTTTACTGTTTAGTTATGAGGACGGTATAGGTGACTTAAGTTTGCAGAATAATGAGAATATGTGGTGAGAATTTCCAAAAACTATATTTTTGCAGTAATTCTAACTAAAAACATTTTGTTCTATCGTGCGGAGGCTGTTGTGAATCACATTTTTCTGAAACGGCAAACAAAATTCAATAAGCGTCGAACAGGGTGGGCACAGACCACTGAACGGTGGCTTAGCGGTAATAACCCCCATTTGGTGGTCAGTTGCCCGTTCCGGAGTCGGAAACATTTTTGGAAATACCACAGAAACCTCGTATTTAAATATGATGATTTTGCAGTTTATTTACAGCTTGTACGAAAAGATTAATTTTATGACTAGTAATTATCATTTTCAGAATGACAGGTTTCAGTCTCACCCTGACTGCTTATTGATAGAAATTCAGGTGCATTTGGAAATACCAATAATGCTACACTGAAACACTTCAAATCAGTGTTTCCAAATAACTTTACCTCTATAAAGGAGCAGATCAGGAAGCTTAATACTCAGATGACAACCCTTTCAAGAAGTACATGGAATGTATAGAAGAGTCATTAGACTCATGAAAAAAACAGGTCCAGTCCAAAGACTATTTCTAACTAGCTACTAAGGTATCTAAACCTACGCCATATAGCTGTTTTTATCTACTGGTACTTCTTGCTTTATTTGCATTGTGTGGCCAAATGCTGGAATGTCGCAATATGGTGAGTACCAAATTTTTTGATACAGTCACACTGATGATGAACGCATTTTGGCAAAGTTATGATTACTTTCAAAATTAATATCAATTTTGCATCGAAAATGCATCCAGTTCCATTTTCTGGTAGCTAAGGATCAAAACTAAGTCTAAAATGTCTCACAGATCTGTATCAATTTTAAAACTTATCTTCATGCATTCTTAGATAAAATGTTTTTGGGATGATTTTTCATGCATTTCCTCTCCATTCTCCTCTCTCATATTTTCAAATTAACACCCTGAATTATGCTGTGCAAGTGCACAAGATGATAGAGAACAAGTTTGACCTGTTTTAAAGACAGGTAAAGGTAGTTAGAAGTAGCTACTTCCAAGTAATTTTAAATACCTAGGTAGCTATCAATAGCTACATAGGGAGAAATAATCTTTGGACCAGACCTGTTAAACTCAAGATATGCATGGAATGTATAGAAAAGACTCATAAAAGTGCTTACTTGTTAACTAAAGTGTAAAGCAGGTTTACCCTAGTAAATAAACTTTTCCCAACAGGAAAAAGATAAATTGTGTAGGAATGACCTAATTCTTGAACATATAGAGAGAACATAAACACCATGTGACTGTATAAATGCTTTCATCTCAAAGTAAATGCAGAGAAGAGAGCTTGTTTAGTACATAACATCTTGTGAAACATTTATTTGAAGCTATTAGTGCATTGCAAACATAGTAGTCTGTTGTGTGATACTCATTTACAAATGATAACATTCCAATAAGCCTCAGGTGGAGTCAACTGTGACCAAGTTTTAGTGATCAAAGGCAATCGCAAGAATATTTTTTGATACAAACAAAAAAGACTTCCAACCAAAGAATATTTTAAAAGAAAGGGAAAGTGGAATGTTTTCTCTTTTTTTTTTTTATTTATTTGCCTTGTTAGCAGCTTGAACTCTTAATTTGTTGTTTGTAGCATACTGTATAGTAAAATTGCTATTCTGATATTTCGTTTTATTGCATATACACAAGAGTCAAGACAGACTCTAGTGAAACTGTGTTCCTTGTAGAATCACTTAGTAGTCTTGAACAACTAGGCTCTTATGACCATAACTTATCTTATTTCTCTCCAGAGTTTGGTTTGTAGAAAATCTAGTATAAAAGATATAAATTGGAAATAAGCAAGATTTTTTGGGAATATTTTGTGTTCCATCCCCATCCTCAAATCCCAGTGGTATCAAATGTTTGATACCACTGGGAGTATGATACCAGAATTTCTCTGAGGTAAATTAAGTTGAAGCTACTGTAATATGTTGTGGTTGATCAAGAAAATGACATGAGTTATTTTATTCTAGTAGGTGTTAAACATTTCACAAAGTTGTATATGTAAAAATATCTTTTTACCAAAATATTTCATCACCTTCCAGGTTTTTACTTTAACAAAAAAAGAAAATGTGTAGACAATAATTGGTCCAAATTATAACCTAATTATTCAACATTATCTTTGCCTGACAAAAATAGAAATAATGTTAAAAGCAATATGAATTTCTATTTATGAAGGATCTTGCCATCTTTAATGAACCAACCTCTCAGAAGGATACCCAGTATGTGCAGCTGGTGTAAAAAATTCCATAAAACATTCAGTTCTGCCACAGTAACAGAGGACAAGTATAATGGAGTCACTGTAGATCTCAGTTCATCACAGTCCCTCAACTCAGAAGATTTCAAACACATACTGTCAGGTTTGTTTCTTAACCCATCTTCGCTAGCCAAGGGTTTTCAGGAGCAGAGCATACTGAAAGCCCTTGGCCAGCAAAGTTCTTAACCAAGTTGTTCAAGGTCTAATTAATACAAATGTATAGAAAACAAAAGATTGAATGCTGCTGATTCTACTGGTTCTTTTTGCTTCTTGTCATATACAATTGAACTTCAATATCTTGAAAATTGATATCTCAATACCTTGGTTATGTTGAAGTGGTTTAGAAGTCCCATCCCCTTATTCTTTTAATATTTTACCCAGGATATCTTGAAGATTTTTCTCGGTCAAATTTGAGATAACAGGGTTTGACTACTTAAACAATGATTTTTGAACATCACACAAATTGATCTGCATCAGATGACAAAGTTATATGAAAGAAAAGGTTCTTATTTGATGTTCAGAAGATAACCTTATGCCATCTTTTAACTTTTTATGTCATCTATTATGAGTCCAGAGTTGGCTTGGAAATACCAGTGGTAAATACCGGTATTTCCCGTCCCGGGAAATTCTACAAATTTTCTCTAAACTAGGAAATATCGGGAAATACTGTGAAATACAAAGTTAAAGTTTTATTATCTCTTGAATTCATTCAATCTTATACAAAATTCAAAAATAAAATAAATATAAAAACAGAAGATGATTAATATTGAATTTATATATGAATGTATCACTAGTCTACTGTAGGTTCCATACCCATAAGCATTTTGAAACATTAATCTTCCTTGATGTATAAAACTGAAGTTTTCCAATTCAAGTTTCTTTTCAGTTTTGTAAAATTATTATTATAAGTTTATTAATTATAAATCCAAGAACAAAACAAACTTGTTTTAATCCTTCTGTAAACATTGTCGTTATTACAAACAATCATGTTGTTTAAACAAATTGCTCTGGACAGTTTTGTGCTCCTGTTTTGAGATATAATTACCTTGAGTAGAACTGAAAGGCTTCTTCTTAGGTTTGTTATTTAAACTACACTCTACATTTAAGAATTTTCTTATATCCTTTTTTAGTTACATAAAAAAACCCTTTTGGGATCTTTGGGTTCATATCATGGATCTTTATAGACTACATCAGACTCCAGCATGAAACACATGACCCTCACGACTGGTATATGAATATACTGTGTTATGATTGTATAAAATGAATTACTTGGAAACCAGAATTTTTTTAAATCAGGGACAGTCATACCTAAGATAGATATCTTAGCCAATAAGGTGTACTACATGTCAATATGAATGAAATATATACCTATTTCTTATTTCCCAGTATTTCCCGGGAAATACCAGTAATTCCCGGTAACTACCAGTACATGTATTTCCCATCATCCTGGGAAATATGAGTATTTCCCAGTTTTTTGCCAACCCTGATTATGACAAAATTCAAATTAATTGTGGGTATCTGTTTCCAGTCTGTTATTTGTCACTCGGAAACTTCCTAACTTCCTACCCAAAAAGTACAATATTCACTGCCCACAAAGGGCTAGGGCAAGTTGAATATTGTACTTCAAGGTTTGCTTCTTTATCGTATTGACCAAAACAGCTTGCAAACCTTGCCATCTATTTTGGGTGTCAGGTATAGTTCATCTGTCTAGACTTCTTGGTGACCCAGGGTTGAATCCTGTCCTGGTTCATTACTTTTTCTTTATTCTTGTTATTACACAAGTATGAAATGTTTAAGGAACCCATAATTGCATTTGAATTTATGCATAGGCATCTTGTCTTCTACAAACTTTTATACTTTGTTTACTTGGTATACATTTTTCATAGTATATGATATTGTAAATGATACTAATGAAGCTCACGGATTTTGCAGATTCACTCCAGAAATGGAGAAGGGAGGGTAAAACAGCTGTCTGGATCAGGGTCCCAATCCTATTGAGTCACCTGATTCCAGATGCAGCCAATCAGGGATTTCAATTCCACCATGCTGAGTATGGGCAGTCCCTCCTGAAGCTGTGGTTGGATGAGAGCAAGGAGGACCTGACCCCCCAGTTTGCTACACATCAAGTGGGCGTCTCAGGTCAGTATCTGTTGGACAAGATTAATCATTCCGTATTTTGCATTCCTTAATTAAGGACATACGCAACATACTGATACTTTTTCAAGATATTCTTAATTTAAGATTATAGTGCCATCAGAAGTTCGTCGACAAAAAATCAGCATGCATTACCAGGGGTTTTGAAAAGATATCAATTGATGAAAATTCTTGTATAATTCAAAGAAAAATACACAAAAATTACTAAACACATATTCTAGATGTTTTGTTTATCCAGACTTGTTTTAGAAGAAATGTACAACAGCATATATAGACATACAAATGTAGCACACAATTCCTTTAAGCGTTGGAACTCTTAAACTCCAGGGAAAAATACAATAAAGTTCAAACTATGTTGCGTATGTCCTTAAATGTATGGAAACATTTCTATTGTACTTAATTTTATTGTCTATTATTTCATGTTCCTCATTGCAAAAAAATATTATTACCATTGTTTATGATGGTTATACAGGCTGCCATTTACACCAATTAAAATGAAGTGTGATTTTTTTTACTGTGGCTCCAAAGGAATGGTGGTGGGGGTGGGGGGGTGGGGGGTGGGGGGGTGGTTTGTACTGTTTTATCCTTGTGTATCTGGGTGTTGTTCTAAAATCTGTGCATTGATTTCTTGTTCAAGTGGACTCTATTGTCTAATATTTTTTGTTTGTGTTAAATGTTGATAGGCATTGGAATTCTCTTTGTTTTAATTGTTGACAGACATTGGGATTCTCTTTGTTTAAATTGTTGAAAGACATTGGGATTCTCTTTGTTTTAACTGTTGATAGACATTGGTATTCTCTTTGTTTGTTTTAATTGTTGATAGTATTGGTATTCTATTTGTTTTAATTGTTGATAGACATTGGTATTCTCTTTGTTTGTTTTAATTGTTGATAGTATTGGTATTCTATTTGTTTTAATTGTTGATAGACATTAGGATTCCCTTTGTTTGTTTTAATTAGTGATAGACATTGGAATTTTCTTTGTTTGTTTTAATTGTTGATAAGCATTAGTATTCTCTTTGTTTTAATTGTTGATAGACATTGGTATTCTCTTTGTTTTAATTGTTGATAGGCATTGGTATTCTCTTTGTTTGTTTTAATTGTTGATAGGCATTGGTATTCTCTTTGTTTTAATTGTTGATAGACATTGGGATTCTCTTTGTTTTAATTGTTGATAGACATTGGGATTCTCTTTGTTTGTTTTAATTGTTGATAGGCATTGGTATTCTCTTTGTTTTAATTGTTGATAGACATTGGGATTCTCTTTGTTTTAATTGTTGATAGACATTGATATTCTCTTTGTTTTAATTGTTGATAGATATTGGGATTCTCTTTGTTTTAATTGTTGATAGACATTGGGATTCTATTTGTTTTAATTGTTGATAGACATTGGTATTCTCTTTGTTTTAATGTTGATAGACATTGGGATTCTCTTTGTTTGTTTTAATTGTTGATAGACATTGGGATTCTCTTTGTTTGTTTTAATTGTTGATAGACATTGGGATTCTCTTTGTTTTAATTGTTGATAGACATTGTTTTAATTGTTGATAGACATTGGTATTCTCTTTGTTTTAATTGTTGATAGACATTAGGATTCCCTTTGTTTGTTTTAATTGTTGATAGACATTGGGATTCTCTTTGTTTGTTTTAATTGTTGATAGGCATTGGTATTCTCTTTGTTTTAATTGTTGATAGGCATTGGGATTCTATTTGTTTCAACTGTTGATAGACATTGGTATTCTCTTTGTTTTAATTGTTGATAGACCTTGGGATTCTCTTTGTTTGTTTTAATTGTTGATAGGCATTGGTATTCTCTTTGTTTGTTTTAATTGTTGATAGAGATTGGGATTCTCTTTGTTTTAATTGTTGATAGACATTGGGATTCTCTTTGTTTTAATTGTTGATAGAGATTGGGATTCTCTTTGTTTTAATGTTGATAGACATTGGTATTCTCTTTGTTTGTTTTAATTGTTGATAGGCATTGGGATTCTATTTGTTTTAATTGTTGATAGACATTGATATTCTCTTTGATTGTTGGTAGACATTGGGATTCTCTTTGTTTTAATTTTTGATAGGCATTGATATTCTCTTTGTTTTAATTGTTGATAGGCATTGGTATTCTCTTTGTTTTTTTTAATTGATGATAGGTATCAGTATTCTCTTCTTTTTTTTATATAGATATTGCTATTATCTTTATTTGTTGATAGGCATTGGTATTCTCTTTGTTTGTTTTTATTGTTGATGGGCATTGGTATTTTTAGTTGCTATCCTCTTAAGATGACAAGCTTTCACATCATAGTTTCAATGCAAATAATCAAGCATCTTCAGCTCAGGAGATTCTCAATTAATTAGGTTATAAAACACCTCTGCAAGGTCATATTGATTGTGTGGGAGGTATGAATGTCATCTCCAGATAAATGTATTGTATCATGGAATTCCCCTGTGTAATTAACTTAAAAAAAATCACACTAGATAGCTTTTACTCAGATTATATGTATTTTCAGATCAGAGTAAATGCTTGTTGTTCTCTGTCAATGAAACCAATGCCTGGATGCTGCTCCTGAGCAGAAAATGTGCTTGTTAATTCAGTAAAAACATGATTATTCTTACCAATAACATTTTACTTTTAAAACGATTTATTTTTAACAAAAGCGTTGCCATTCCTGTTGTCTTTTGTCAGAAAGTGTACATGTGACTGTTTGTAGACCCTGACTTTGACTATTTCTGTGTTTTGTACAATAATGACAGAAACAATGCAAAGTGAGTCTTTAAAGCATCTATTTATACCCCCTGCAAATGAAGTTGGGGGGGGGGGGAGGGGGTATACAAAAATAACTTTGTCCATCTGTCTGTCCATCTATCCATGCAATCATGTCTGAGCCATAACTTTGTCATGGTGAATCTTTAGAAGCTCATACATGTACTAGTTAAAAAGACTGTTTATGTGCCATGACCTTGACTTAATATAAATTTCATGTCTGGTCTACAACTCCAGAATGGAGTGTGTCTATGCAATCATGTCTGGGCCATAACTGTCATGGGGAAACAGTAGAAGCTCATACTTGTTACAAGGATTGTTCATGACCATAAAACGTGTCATGACCTTGACTCAATTTGACAAGTTCAATGTCACTGGCAGAAAAAGTATAAAATATGTGTCTGGTCTGCAACTCCAAAATAGAGAAACATTGGAGGTTTGTACCTCATAAAAAGATTGCTGATGACCTGAAGGTATGTTGTGACCTTAACCCAAGGTCATTCCAGTAAGTTCACGGTCACCTTTACAAAAATGTTGAATTTCTGTACTGACTGTTTCTTGTAATGGAAAACATAAGAAACTCATACTTATCATAAAGTCTGCTTATGACCTGAGAATATGTCATTGACCAAAGGTCATTCCAGCAGGTTCATGTCACTGGTAGAAAAGTGTTTTATTCGTGTTCAGTCCTTGACTCTGTAATGGAGGATAATTAGAAGTAGACACTTGACACAAAGATAGCTTATGACTTAAGGGTTTGTCACGAACTGACCAAAGATCATTTTGGCAAGCTTAAGGTCACTGATAGAAAAAAGTGTTAAATTTGTGTTCTCCTGATTACTTTCTAATTGTTTAGAAGATGTGTCATGACTTTGATCCAAGGTCATTCCCACAAGATCAAGGCAGAAAAAGTATAAAATCTGTATTCAGTTGATTACTTTCTAATGGATAAGTATTGGAATTTCAAACTTCAAATAAAGATTCTTTGAGAGCTGAAGGTATGTCATAACCTTGACCCAAGGTCATTATGACAAGATCAATGTCACTGGCAGAAAAAATGTAAAATGCATGTCAAGTCCATAATTTTCTAAGGAGAAACATTGGATGTCCATATTTTACTCAAGAATTACTTATGACCAGAGGATGTATCATTAAACAAGGTCATTTAGGCAAGTTCAAGGTCACATTTAAAAAATTTTATATGACAGTTCAAAAAAAGATTGCAGCGGGAGGTATAATTTTCTGAGGTCGCTCACAGTGCCTCTACTTTTGACTATCACATGAAATACAGATTTATTCAAGGAAAATAACTTAAAGGAAATAATTTTCATAGAATGTTCTAGACATAACAGAGCTGTTATGGTTATTTTTGTTGTCTACAGGAATGGTAATTCGTGAGGACACGGGACAGGTGCTTGCTGTACAGGACAGAAATAGCCGGGTAACTTAGTGCACTATTCTCTGTAGTACAAGGCTAACAGTCTCATCAGGGAGATTCATTTCACTTCTATTGATACATTTATTTTTTTTATTTTTCAGTTTAATCTTTGGAAATTCCCGGGGGGTCTATCAAATCTGGAGGAAGATATCTGTAATGCACAATTTTCTAACGTAATAGACACTGGATTTTGGTCATTTGTCCAAGATTTCGATTTTAGAATAACTTAATTAGAATAATAAACTAATAAATCTGTTAAGAAAGCAATTTAAAAAAAAAATATTGATCATTGTAATTATTCATTGATTATTTTAAAGGTGATACAGCCGTGCGTGAAGTTTTTGAAGAAACAGGTATTGAAGCAGGTAGGAAATCTTAATTAGAGTTATCTCTCTTTTGATTAGAACTGCATGCATAGAAAGTTAATTGTTCAAATACTCCTACTCATTCCCCCCTACTACTTCAATTCATTATTTAATCAATCGATAAAATTGCACAACCCTAAGAAGATAACGTGTTTTAGATATGTGAGGACCACACGAAATCAATTGCATAATAAACAAGTTGGAAATTTCGGGATAGACGTATAAGGCTGTTGTTTTGATTTTACTCTGACATACATACACTGGATTTTAAATCACTGACTCCGCAGATTTAAGTCGGTCAGAACTTGTCGCCCTGACACCAGTCGCTATGCACCTCCACTGATAATGCACTGTAAATTATTCTGTGACATTTTCCTGGAAGATAGCCTGCATTTTAACCCTCATATCATATAGTTTACTAAATCTGTAGTCGGTGTTCATGAATTGACTTTGAAGACTATACTGTTCTTTAGAATTTCAGTCGGTCCTTGCTCTGAGGCAACAACATAGACAACCTGGAGCTTTCGGAAGGTCAGACATTTTCATTATATGTCGCCTTCGACCTTTAACCTTTGACCTCAAGCCTTGCTCACGTGAAATAAAAGCATGTCAATGGATGCACATCGCAGACATGCAGAAATTGAGCAATTTCTCTGACTTTACAAACAGATTGACCAGCATGGCGATTTACGGCGTCGAACATGGATTTCAGGATCTGGACATTACGTACGAAGAGATGAAGTCGGTGTACAAAGGACTCCGCTACAAACTTTACCACCGCCCTATACCAGCAAACAGACGAACTGACTAAGCCGTTTAAACTCGTGGTTGACTGGGATGTCATTTATGTTGTGCATGCTCTTTTTAAAGTTTTAATATACACGAGAACGTTCTTTGTAACAGGCTATAGGTTTTATATTTAAATAAAATTGTTTATTCACTATCTTAAGTGTATATAATTTTACAAGGAAGGTATGAATTCTAGAGCGTTTTAGAGGCCAACAATAGGATAACGACGTTCGTGCTGGGATCGAGTTAACATTGTTTATATATGTATATGTATGTGGGCAAATATTCAAAATATCTCGAGTCATTCAAACGATGTCGTCCTCCTAAAAAAAAAATGTAACAAATTAGCACTCACTAAATGAATAAAATGAAGGAATGAAGATAAATTTGACTTTTTATCGACCAGCGATCAAAACTTCAAACGATGGGGCTAATCGCGTCTGATAGCACGATTTCTCATGTCGCGGTTACAAAGAAGTGTCCGATATTCTTTTTATTCCAACACGTATATTCCTAGTCCTGGAAGGAATGCAGACAAAACCTGTTTGCGTAAAAGAAATTGAATTTGATTTTAACACGGATTTCGTGTTCTCAACAAAGCGTAGTTAATGTGTATTGGGTAAAATAAGGGTATATTGGGGCGGGAAGATTTTTCCTAAGATCCAACCGTATCCTTTCCTTACAAAGAAGTTTAACAAAAATGTCTACAATTTTATTCTCGATTTGATTTATGTATCGATGCTTAACAACAGTCTTTTCTTTGATTTGTAAGTAAAAGTTTTATTTTATAGAGCGAAAAAAAAGTCATATAACTATATCATGTTAAATTATTTTCACTGCCCAAAGAGTTGACTTCGTCAGAGTGCTTTTTGAAAAGTAAACGCAATTAGCAATTTTCCCTGTGATTTATTATGCTTTAAAGCATAATATTGTTGCTAACGGCCCATTTTATCTATTATATTGCGTTGCATAACGGCCAGGTACCGAATTTTGATGGTGTGCTCGTCAATCCCACTGCTTTGTTTTATTACGTAATGTGAATGTCACTGGTGTCTTGTGTAATGTGAATATTTAGAAATAAACATAAAAGGTAAATAAGCAGCGTCTTTTAAAATCAAATTACAGAAAAAATATGGAGTGGAATATACCGGTATTTTATTACCCTATTTATGTATTGATATAGTATACGATATTCCTTACTGATGTATCGGCACTCAAGAGCTTTAAAGCTTAAGAATCCTTTCTTTTGAAAATTAAAAAAAAATTAGTGCAAAGAGGTGAACAGTATAGATTTAAGTTAATGTTCATTGAACACAAAGCATACGATGCCTGAGCTGTAGACAGTACGCACAATGATCCCCGGATTAAGCTCTTTACAATTATTATAACCGGCTTCTCGAAAACTTCATGATCGGAATCCTTACTGAAAAGGTCACAAGTTTTAAACATAATCTTGGTCACAGAGATAGATTTCTTGCGTAACTTTCAATTTTAAGAGGCAATTGATGCGCTGGGTCATGTCGTAAGTGAACGTGGATTAGCACTAAGCTAAAGCAGACGGTACTTGACCCTAGGTCAAAGCAGGTTATCTGCTGGAATATTAACCAGATCCGTCTTTTTATTGGAGATGAAGAAAAGTCTATCACAGGAGTTGCGTAACCTATGATTACTTTCTAAATGTGTGTATTGGTCTGACCGGGTCATTGAAATCTCGGCACCAGCTCGGAGGTGTTAACCGCCGGCCATGTTCTTCACCTTGATAAGATAGTATATTGTTATGTACCCTATATTAGCCTTCCATTGTGACTACATAACTGGTAATTGATGACGAAATATGGAGTCTAGTTCTGCTTTTTCTCTTGCACTCCCAATTTTTTATGCGCCTCCCCCCACCCCCCCCCAAAGTGGACATATTGCTTTGCACCTGTTGGTCGATAAACCAAGTGCTGTCCGCTCAATATCTTGAGAACTCTTTGCTTGACAAACATCAAACTTGGTAGACTGTTACTTCCAGAAGATGATGGTATTGAGGTGTGATATAGATATATAGTGATCAAACTTTACTTTTAAAATACGTGTATCAGGCCCGTAGGAAACAAATTCAGTATTCAGTTTGGGGGGCACAGCCATACATTTTCAATTGACAGTTGAGGGGGAACTACCAGAAATTTCCTGACAAGCAAAAAAAAAAAAAAAAAAAAAAAAAAGAAAAAAAAAAGGTCAACAGACGTTTTGTATTGAGGAGGCACAAGCATATGGTATCTATGTTTACTATAGTGATCAATATATTGGCAAAATTATGGGGGGGGGGGGCATGGCCCCCCGGTTCCTACGGCCATGTGTATTGCCACTGACTAGTAGGAGACCAGTTGTTTTTCACTATCATTACAGACATTCTAAATTTAAAGCTGTTCCCTTTTTATCGGTGATATTTGCAACATAGGGGGATATATGTTTCTCACATTTCTTAATTGTTTCCTATTCTTTTAGATTTTTCAGCAACTACGTGTCTCCGCAATGCGAACAAAGTTTGATCTAAGACATGATTTGTTTAAAATGTAAACATTAATTAACCACAATTGTTTTTATGCTCAATAATGATGGAAAACTACACAAAAAAAAAAAAAAAAAATCCGGTCTGAAAGATTTACACAAAAGATTTCAACTCCATATATTCATTGGAATAAGTATAGATCATGATACTAGTATTTAATCTTAATTAACGTTCTAGATACATGTATATGTTTTATTTATATCAAGTGATATATCTTCTGTATACTTCATGCTTGGGATTCATTTGCATTTTTGGTACATATATTCTTTGCTCTCTTGAATAGGCATATGCATGATTGGAATTTACGACAACCTCGCAGCCCCACATTCCGGTATCCGGCACCACGTGTAGGTCTGCATTCACAGAAGTTGTCTGACAACTGTTTTTGCGGCTTGTGGACATCAGATTTTGCAATCTTCGCATTTTCTAATTGTTATTTTCGAGGAAGGACATTTATTTTAAGAGAAGTAGTGTTGTTTTTCGTTTTATTTGCCCACTCCCTTCTTTAAGGTCCTAAGAACACATGTTTTCACGTCTTTTTTCTTTCCTCCGATAAAAAATATCCGGATTCTGATCTGACGTCAATCAACACTAAAATGCTTTTATAGTTACAATAATAAGAGAATATCTTTAAGGTAAATTGTCTGTTGTCGTACAGTTTGTTGTCGTAAAAATGTTAGTATTTTCTTTTCCTTTTTGAGATCACAATATATATATATCTATATATATATATCTATATCTATATCTATATATATATATATATATATATATATATATATATATTACACCATACGGAAAAGTGCATAATTTATTTACTGGTAGATGTTTTTTGAGCTCTGTTGTAAATTTTCTTGAAGAGAGAATCTTCACTGGTGCCGATTCCCTCAGTAAAGAATCACGGAAATGGTGATTTTGATATTCTACAAGACACCATTAGTATTTGATGTTTCTGTGGACGATCTGGTTTCTTAACGTGAGGGCAAAGGAAACGCATGACCTTACATATGTGAGAGCTGTAAACAGAGGAAATTCGTGTCGGATGTGTTCCAGCCACCTAAATTGGGTTTCTTTTTGGAACAGTGAAGTTTCCCAAAATTTAATGAGCGGAAACTCTTGTACTGATTAAGAATATCACAATATTGATCTGTTTGTCCCAAATTACTCCTAATTTCCCATTGTACCACTGCTGTAAGCCTTGTACACCATCAAATGATTGAAATAGTTGTACGCGCGTATAAGGTTATTTGACAATGAAAATGATCTTGTTGTCGAACTGCTACAAGCTCTTACAGACGGATAGTTAATGGCATATTAACTGTGCAAAAGGTAGTCGTGAATTAGGACTCTTTTGTCTTGACATTAAGGTCAGTGCTCTTGACCTTAACAAGCAAATAGCTCAGCAAGACGTCCTCCTAAATCGATCATTTAGAAAGTTTATTTTTAAAGAATCCATTATACATGTTTATTTACAATTTGAAATATGTCTGAAAAACATACTTTTTGTTATTGATAAATCAATGAATGTCTGCAAGAAAACAAGGTATTCAATATCACGAGAAGACACTGTTGTCTGAGTGCTTGTTTAGGTACAACTTTATTGTTTTCTGCTTCTGCGTATTACTATTTGTATTTTTCAAACATTCAGTGCAATTGTATAATTAACCCATGTGACACATGGGTCACAGTCAAAGTTACATATATATGTATTAAACTCGGCAGTCTTAGTGCCATAGAAAAGCAACGAATACTGTTTATTCGATTTCATGGAATTCGATGATGATGTACTATCTTGGTGCTGTGCCATAGTATTTGGGTCACAGCAACATACCCGTTTGACATCTAATGGAAGCAGTCATTACTGCCAATAACTTGTGGGCTACAGAACGCGTACCATAGCTTGATACATGTACGTCATGCATACTGAGCCTTAGAAAAGCATACTAACAGATCGACATTGCTCTGCCATTGTCATTGTACGTAAATGTAAATTATTTAGGTCCTTTTAGAGTAGTCTGTGTGGGTTTCATTGTTGTCCTTTTGGATTTCAGTCTCCCTCCATATCATATCCCGCATCCTCATTCGCCTAAATTTTTTGCTCTACTGGTCAAAGACTAGAAGAGATTTTATGCGGTGGGTAAGGTGCCAGACTCCCGCCTGTCTATATGCTAAAAGTGTTCGTTTGTTGGTCTGTAAACAAATTTTCAAATTGCTATCCCTACAACTAATATTTCTGTGATTTTTTTCAAAATACTGAAGTAGACTAGACTGAGATACATAATTTTGTTGGACTTTGATTTAATGACCGATACTACTATGGTTTCTAAAATTAGAAATTTCTGTAGAATTCTTTCCAAACGCTACCCTCTCTACAGTTTTAGTCTGATTAAGGCAACAGTAAGTTTTACATGGGAATATATAGTGAAAAATCTTTTAAAGATCTTCTTTACTAAGTTCTATTTTATATGTACATATCCTTAAGTTGCGGTGATTGAAGTTTTTTTCTTCCAATTATGGATCCTGGGGTAAAAATCGGGGATCAAAATTTAAATATTATACAGAAGAAATTTTTTTTAAAAAAAGTCTTCTTTCTCTTTGTTATG